CGCTTTCTGGGTCAAAACTACTCGAATTTCCTCACTCACGTTGTTACGACTGAATCGACTTTTCAATTCTCTATCCAATGATGCCAAAACGAATTATGTGGCTCGAATGGTTTTTGAGAAACTTCGAAAAAAGCAGCGTCACGTTCACGTGGATTTTGCAACTCAAAAAAAAAAAACCACACAAATCTAAAACTTCCTGAAGTCAAGCATTTTTCGAGAAAACTGCAGCATTTCCTTATCGATGGTTCACTTTCTAAAAGGCCATTTAGTTCTCTTTGGAATGATGTACAAATGAGCGTTCTTGCTCATTTTGCTTCCGAGAAACATGCAAAAACGGGACGAAAAACATGAAATTTTGCAATAATCTCAGGCCACCCTTGCACAAAACGACGATAATTTTTCTAATTTCATAGACAACAGACGACAATCGATGTTCGGGTTCCAGACACAGAGGAACAAGTAACTAATTAATAATTGCAGTAATTAGTAATTGCAGAAGAACCTTTCAGGGGCACTCAGAACATTGCACAACAACTGACACTTTCCCAGGCACCAAATAAATATCGGCTACATTCCTACCACGTATGTAAGATCACATTAAACCAATGGATTACTGAACACCGGTATAAATTGAGCAGGAGTTAATTAACCGTAAAGGAGAAGCTGCTCGAGAAGAGTGCATAATAAGGTGATACACTGGCACTTGTTTGGAGTGACCGACTCAAATGTATGTTTTTGCACTTTGTAAACAAATTAATAATTCGGGGTTATGAGTTTCGAAATAGGTTCGGTCATTCAACGATTCCTGTTGAATTTACCGTTTACCCTTGTCGATCTTATTGTCACTTTCTCTATGTATCCATGGTTACCGGCGTTTTAAATAATTACGAAGCAACAGGTATTGACGTAATGTTAACTAGGCAGATTACCGTTAACAACATCGTTGCCGTTTGTCTAATACAGTTTTTTGCGAATTTCTCAGTTTTTAATGACAATTAATTTTTTTTACTATTTTTTCTGTACTCCTAAAACACCACCAGAGGAATGACGCCAATTTTGAATCACCCTGTATAGTTATGTTTTTTTGTTTTTTAACACCTGGAAGTCCTCTTGGGTTAGAAACCCAAAAAGCAGATTTAGCGTTACGTTATTTTTATTTACCGATTTCCCAGATTGGTAAAGTCTTTCAAGAAGGTGTCGTTGGTGATCATTTCGACGAATTCTTCAAAGTCCAGCCGATTGTCATGGTTCTGATCGAAGCGCTCGTAATTGTTGATGATGATCGGCGTCAACGGTGCCGAACTTGGCACCTGCTCAGTGGTTTTGATGAAAGCCGTCAATTCTTCCAGACTGACGAAGCCATCGTGATCTCGATCGCACTGAAAAAGAAAACACATTTGAAAACTCCTCCTGTTTGCCAGTCTGTTGCTGATTAAGCCACTGATATTCTGGACGCTTTGCGCGATCTGCGGCAAACTGAACCCGCAAAAAACCAACTGTTCAGCCGGAGTTTACGCGCTGCTATTTATTACACAATTCAGTCATTCTGGTGCAATTGAATCCTGTAAAGGCGCGTAAAAACATCCATGAACGGTACCAAACAGGGCAAGTGCACGCGATTTAAAAATAAATTCAATGCCAAGGCCATCGCTCGGTCAGTTACTTGCAACAATAAATAAACCCTGACATATCGGTTGCTAAATTTAATCGGTGCGCATAAATAGCGGGGAAGTCTTGGCTCTACCTGCCCAATTAGTGAGCGATATCGTTCAATGTCGACCAGCTGAACGGATTCTTTGCATTGCAAGGCGGAACTTAGCTACTATCCGGCGCCAAAATAATTAACACACACCTTAATGCGGTCGCTTTTCACTTCTTGTTGAATTTTCATCCGAAACGCCACAATTATTTTTTGGGTCAATGTATCAAGTTCGAACGCACCACCAACAGGAGCAAGTTGCTTCCCTACTAGCCAACCATGTGTGCGAGAGAGAAAACCGCTGCGAGCTACGTTCCGGAATGGAAAAACGCGCAATGCAATAATGCATGAAAATCATACGTTGATAAAAGGTGGCACAGCGAGGTTCAGATTGGTGTGAAATTGTATACATTTTCCTGACTGTGTTTCAATTTCAAGTCGAATTTATTCCTGGGTTTCAGTCATTTATTGTCTCTATTCATTAATCAAAATACGTTTCGGTGTATTTTTGTACCAGCATCAGTTTTTCTAAATTAACAGATAGTTAAAAAAATCATTAATTAAAAAAACAACCATAGTTCGTCAACAGGCTCATCATGTTACACATTAAAATACATCACAATTGCAATACTTTAAAACATTCCAAAATTAATTAGGCCTAACAGGTGATTAGTCAGGACAATCAAATTTGGGAAGAGACTAGAATTCTTCCTTCAGATACTTAATTATTTTTTTATTCGAATGAATCAAAAAGTGCCATTTTGCGAACAGAAGCGATGATCAAAAAGAAGCACTTTTCTTTAGCGTTCATTTGTTTTACTTTTACGCACGGACTTTGTCGCACAGTGTGCGACAAAGTAAATGTGACACTTTGAACTTGCCACTGTCATTATATATTTTTTAGTATTTTTATTTAAAAATACCCGAAATGCTTTTTTAAGGAAT